CATCTGGGCTCAGCCTTGGCACCTCTATGGCTGGAACGGTGGGAGTTCCCACAGGCAGATATTAAGGGACGTTTTCTCCCTGAATATCTTCGGGGGCCAAAGGCTTTCTCTGTGCAGCACAATCCAACGCATCTGCCTCCACCTCCGGAGCATAACAGTTCCAGGCGTTGATCACGGGACCATCTTTTCAAAGGCGCTCCATGACCTGTGACACACTGTACAAATCAAGGTGGGTCTTTCCCAAACCTGTTTAAGGAACGCTGAAATAGCTGCTTCTATTACTTCACTTACCTGAGGCTCTTGAACGTCACCACTAACCTGAGCTTCCTGCACCGCGTGGCTCAGCTGAGGCTCGTGCGCAGCACCACTGAGCTCTGGCTGCTGCACACTGAGCTCCGGCTGGGCCTCAGGTCCACCAACCTGCACCTGAACAACACTAACAGCAGGCTGCATTTGTCATTACTGCCTAAACGTCACTGGGCTCTGGTTCAGGCAGTACACTCAGGTGACAGGGTCTGGAGATGTACCGGTATCTCCTCTGGATCCTCAGTGCACACTGCAACTTGTGTTGAATGTGGAATAAGGGATCTAAATGCAAGCGGCCCCTCTTCTGTTGTGTGCAGCGCTCTATGTGTTGCTGTCTAAAGACAGGGTCACTGTGATACATAGTGTATATGTTTTGTAGTTTCCTTTTTATGTAAATGTCATTACACTTATACAGATTGGTACTATAAATTCTCTTATTAATTCTGTATGAGGTATTTTCTAAATATCTTACAGTGTAGCACAGGTGGTGTTGAGCGGTTTTGTCAGGTTTCACTACAGTGTGACGTCTCTGCAGGTGCACTCGTAAATTCCGCCTGTTCAACTTCAATCCACAGTGTGGACAAACCACTGACTCTGTGGCCTTGCAAATGGGCGGTGGGGGGGGGGGGGCAATGGCGCTCGCAGGGTGAAGGAGCCAGGTTCTGCAGAGGCTGGGGAATTTGACAAGGTGGAAGGAGCTGGAGACTGT